GTAAATTAAAAAGTCGACATTATTACATTTACTGGGGATTAGAAGTGCACGATTTAGCTGTTAAGGTGGTGAAAATTGTTTACTTTTCTAGAGCTTGGCCGTGATTGGGGAATTGGCCGCCTACCCTCCCCCTCCAGGAGATTGAAATATAGTTGCGGGTCCCAAGTTTGATTGAATGCTCATAGGCTCATTGAAATTAAGCGATTGGTTAGTAAAAGCTAGGATTTTCTGTCGATTGCATCACTCACCTATGGTGCTTTCTCTGAGTTCCGAACATATTTTTTATGTTTTCTTCAAGCCAATGAGTTCCATACGACTTAAATCTCGGATTATATATATATATATATATGAGGTGTGCGATAGACTTACGTCCACGTGGTGCACCCTGGGCAACGTATACTCATACGGCAAAAAAGTCTATTAACCGGCAGTTGACTTCTGACTTCAAAATACCATGGCACGACTGCTTGTCATATTCGACCGCTTTCACAGTACTCATCTTACCCTTTTCTCTGCCTTTGTGTCTGTCTGCCTCTTTTACATCTGTGAATCACTCTTCTGTTCCCCACCCCTCGACTTTCTGCTACTTTGATGAACCTTCCCTCTGTGAAGCCCGAAGTCAATTAAAGGGCTAATGCTAGCTATCAAAACGCCTGCCATGTCAGAATTATTTCAGCTATTGCAAATGACTTTAGAATTTTTTATTAGAGTATAAAAATTACTTTATAGTTACCGAATGTGCTGAAATAACGGCAAAATTAATAGTTGATAATAAAGTTGGTTAATGAAGATTTTAATGAGACATAGTTTTGATTTCAAATCATTTCACAAAAGACTACTTGTATCGTCCTTAAAATATCGATATTAAGGTGAGAGAAGATATCCTTTGTGACAAATTTGCTAGTAAACACGAAGCTTCTTGAGAGCATAAGTTGGTATCAGCGCCTTTCTTCTTGACATCGTCCATAGTATTTTCGAAAGTTGTTTTATTTTGAAGGTTATTAGGTGAAAATTACAATGACTTTTTAGTTTTCGATAGCCAAATAAATTCTCGCTTGCTTTTATCTCAGAATACATGCAATTCATGAAATTTAATTACTAATTCATGATATTTAATTGACTCAAATTTATATTACCCGCAATACTTAATATTCAGCCAATTTGAAATTGTGCAAATCTGATGTCTGTGTTATGATTTAGTTACTAAGATTATTAGATTCTTATAATCAAAATATACCTTCGGATCCCATTAATTATTTCAAGGATTTTTTTTGAAATTAATGTCATTATTCCACTCTCCGGAGCACTTGGAGCCCTTAATTTTCATCCATAACCCCTAGCCTCCATTCTTCTTCTCAATGGGTTAATTTTATTTTTAGTGACTATAAAGCGGCCTAGGCTGAGTTAGATATAAACTCCTACACCTTTTCAAGCACCTCCTTTCACTACCTAACAAATGCCCCACTTAGATAGTATACCTTATGTTCTAATATCTGTTTGCGATTAATTGAAGCGCACCTTTCCACCAACTCATAATATTTCTGTGGCATTTTAGGGCTTTTTGTGTTAAACAAGGAATATATGATTGCAGCGATATTATCCTGCAGCAACTGCATGATAAAAGACAGCAAAACTAAGTTAATTAATAAGTAATGACAATCTAGAAGTTACTTATCGCGATAATGGTCTGGATTTGCATTAACTATTCAGCAACGAACCTTCTAATAATTCATTGCCATAACAAACTTTATTAGAGTCCATTGCAATCACATCAAAAGTTACATTACAAGAATTGACGATAAAATAAGGTGCTACTACAGTAAGTTTAGTTCAATCTAAAGGACATGCAAAACTGATCATGGGTTTGAATTTTCAAGATCCAAACGCACGCGCACGCACACAATTTCATTGAACAAATCTTTATTAGTTTGAATATCATTCATATGGCACTCGAATATGGCTCTGAACTATCAACCACAGGCGTCTTCGTGCAATGGCTTCATTGCCGCATTTATTTCAAAACAAACGCGAAAACTAGATATCACATTTTATTGGCTTCGAACAACATGGTCATTAGTCCCAGTGTCATAAGCTGAGCATTCCAAGAAATGGATAGAGAAATGGGCGAGAGATTAAAGGAGAATTTACAGAGGGATAGGTGTTGTTGGACTATGAGGAGAAGAAGGAAATGAGAGGTAATGAACACTGAGACGCAACATCATTTTCTGGAATGGGAGAGGAAAACAAAAGAGGCTTGATACCACTTTATCTTACATAGGATGATATATACTCAAGTACGGCTTTATAACAGAATTGTAATTGCTCTGGGGATTTTATCATGCCTGGACGTTGCGTTCTTAATAATCGAACAGTCTGGAGAATATCCACGACGCCTTCGCAGCGTAAACGGTCGAGGACTATTGAAAGAAGTATAAATACCGCCGTGCGTCCTGAGCCGCAACTAAAAGCAAAAGATTGGACTTAGTATCGGATGATTAAATGAATTAAGTAGAGTAGTCGGGTTTTACTTACTTGCAGTGAACAGTTATAGGACCATCCTGACCAAACTGCCCTTTAGTCTTATGAATTTGGGAGATGAAGTTAGTAAATGCCTCAGAATTGCTAGGTACACCGACCTCAGGCCACTCAGTGTACTGAAACTGACGGATGGTGCGTGATACACCATCCCGTGTATCCGTGACCTTGAACTCTCGTAAAGTGTAGGTGGGCATGTTGTACTCAACCATAGGATCAATCACAAAGTGCTGGTATCTTGCCGACCTCTTTATCGGCCAGTACGGATAAGAATGTTCCTGCAAAGGAAATGCGCATTAGTCAACGACCATATGACAAATATGCCCATAAAATACGAAATACGTTACATACTTTTCCTTGTTCAGTAGATTGACTAATCATGACAATGATGGCAGAATTGTGCTCCCAACACATACGCCAGAAGTCCTCGAGAGTTTCAGCCATAGGACCTTGTGTCGCTATATAGGCTCTTCGGGAGCGATAACTGTCAACAAAACTGGCGTTGATGTAATCAGACCCATCAACACCTCTCAGAGGGGTCAGAGCTACCCTTGATTTCTCGTATGGAAGACTCTCAAGGAATCTGTTTTTGCATTTATTTGGTGGAAGAAGAGCTGATGTGAAGCCTGCTTTGGGCATGAAGAAGCTCTCCAGTTTCTAAGATTTCAAAATAATGCGTTATTTTCATGTTTACTTATATACAATTCAGTAACCACGTTAACTAACTTTAAATTCGATGTCGAAACCACAATAGCCCATTCCATCAGGTTGCAAAAGTGAATTATATTGTGTGTAGAGACCTCTAGCCGGAACTTCTGTGTATCCGCCCTCTGCCATTTCCAGAAGAGCGTCATATACAAAGATATATTGCTCCTCTGTTTGTACCATGAAGTTGCGTTGGGATCGAAGTGCCGTAACACAACCCAAGACATCTACTGCGTTTTCGTATTTCATTTGATCTTGCATTATGTCCAGTGCAATCAAAGCACCTAAAGTAACAAATAAGCATTATTTTATAATAAATAACTGAAACTTGTACATGGGAAAAGCGCTGTAGGCGACTTTTGGATAATCGAGATCAACCAGAAAGAAAGCAGATGAGTTAAATTTGCTTTAAAATTGGATCTACATAAATTCAAAGAAGCCATCATGTCATAACTTGAATCGATTTGTACCAATACTTGCCCTCATAAACTGAACATTATCCAACTATAACTATGGGGAAAACGTAATCGCAGATGCAATCTACCCCCTTACCATTAAACATATTAGAGTTGCTCTGTGGAATACTCTGGTGGGAAATTAAATTATTTTAAATTAAATTATCGTAAGCTAGTTTTCCTATGAAAATCAGCCAACAAAATTTTTTACTGATTTTAGCCCTGGACTAACTAAAAGCATCGAATAATTCCAGACAGAAAGGTCTTTAGGGCAAAAAAGGTGCCAATTATGAATTCAATTGGTAGAGACACCTCAACATTTCATAACTGAATTTTCTAACGTAGGTTTCTTCTTATTCTAGCATGATCAAGATCGGTAGCCATACATCCAACATAAATTATACTTTTGTTATGATATTTAACTGATCACGTTCAAATGAATGGAATTAATGAATTATCAAACTTCGTTTTCCTTCATGTAGCATTCATTGTGAGCATTTAGGATAATTTATTAAGCAGAGATGGGTAGTTTCACCATTTCCAATTTTTTTGCACATGCTTTGCTGATATTTCTCTGCCATACATGACCTTTGGGATCCGTTAAAACAGATGTAAAGATTGGCAATTTATTTGGAATTAAAATGGAAATCGAGAATAGGTAATTTGATTGTTATTAACAAAGACTACTTTTATAATATTACCTGAAACTTCACCAATTACCATATTTCCAGTTAAAGTTTTGCTCAAATTTATCATTGCTACCAAACAGGATTTTTGAATCTCATCAGGACACGTTCGTCAAACTACATAGAAATGTAAGAGCGTATGTTGTTCGTGTGTGATTTTATGTGAGATAATAGGATACCAGGGCGCATTGTCGTATTTTGGGGGGAGAGGATTACTTTTATAATGTGATCGTCTGGTGCATTTGGTAAACACGTCCAAATGTCATCCCAAGATCCCTTTCAAAATGGACACACAGATAGTCAGAATTGTAGAGGTGGCATGGATTAATTGTAATGACTGGCGTGACCGTTACTCTCTGAATGCGGTATTTGACAATACTTAAAATATTACCCAAATGTCGGTGATCTAATGTAGATTCCAATCCAGGGCATGTCTGCCCGCCTCGAATAATGCTCAACATAGAAGGAAGATATAAAAATTAATTTCAAGCAATGCGTTGCTACAAGTTGATACTCAGTTCTCTTCTGTCAGATTATAACACTAAAACTTATAAGTTGCTTCATAGACGACGGTACAAATGCCTACTAAAGTAATAAACAAAGTTCCATTTAATTGCAGACAAATTGACACCAAGTCCAAAATGTGCTTGGTCTTACTCATTATCAGGGATTAATCGCAGGTTTATTAAAGCACTCAGACAGATATTGTTACATGAAATGGATATAATTCAATAGAAATGAACACAATCAGCCCTTAAATTTTCTTCTACCACCTTGGTCATATCGAAACACGATAGTGAGTTCAGAAATTATTGCCAATCATTCCCTTATGTTGCATGTTTATTTACCAAATTTTATAATTCCTACGTTAAACAATTCTTTCCCTTTCTCTAGTATTCATTAAGTTTCTCAACGCTCACTTTTGTTGGCAATGATAGGAATAAAGATGTCTTCTTGTCCCCAAATACAAGCACTCTTATCAGTTAACCTTCGGCATGCCTTGCTGCTCATAGACAAGTTAAAAGATGTTTGAGAAGCAAAGATTGGCAAGACTGTTCTTCCCTACTTTAATAGTGACTACTAATCCTTATCCCCCTCCAAGCATGCTCACTTGATATAAAAACTAACCTGTTCGTCCGACACCAGCAGAGCAATGAACAACCATAGGTCCGGAAGTAGCGGGATCCGACTCACTAGAAGCGACAGAAGTTGAAGTCGCTCCAGGAGCAATGAGAGAAACAGATTCCCGACCACCCTGGCTGCATGCCGCTCTTCGAATTCTACGCATAAAGAGAAGAAGAGGTATTGGAGGACTCTCCGGTACTCCATGATCCGGCCAGCTGGTAAACTGGAGGTGAGTAACTTCACGAACTTCGTTTCCATTTAAGTGGGAGATCGTAAAGCGTCGAATGGTGAAATAGGCCAGTTCGAGTGTTCCCTCAGGACCTGGTATGGGGGAGACTGTAATGACTCCATTTGCGTAGGTTTCCGGACCTCGTGACGGCCAGTATTGATCGCATTTGATACGAGCACGTTCCTCTAATCGGGTCATCATTACAACTATGGACACCCTTTGCTCCCATATCATTCTCCAAAAGTCGGAATAGGTCTCTGGTAGAGGTCCCTTTTATAAAATAAACATTGCGTTATAGGTAACTTCATATTTTATATATAGGAATATACTAGAAAAAAGAACTATGAAATAGGAAAGCGAGTGAATAATGCCCATTTCAAAAAAAAGGAATTCTCATTTAATAGGGAACGACGTGTTCATACGTAGATAAGAAGAAAGGGCCAGTAAGTCAGACGACTGAGAAACAACCTACTTTAGTATTCATGGGAGGGATCTTAATATACCCAAAGGGTAATTCAAGTGGCAATGAAAAGGCTGAAGGTAAAGAAAGAAATTTCAAGGAGCAATCCTTACTTTATCCAAAATGGGGTGTGCGACAGACTTACCTCCACGTGGTGCATCCTGGGCAACGTATACTCATACGGCAAAAAAGTCTACTAACCGGCAGTTGACTTCTGACATCTGATTTCAAACTACCATCACCCATTGTATGTCATATTCGACTACTTTCACAGTACTCACCTCACCTTTTTCTACCTTTGTGTCTGTCTCTTTTACATCTTTGAAACACTCATCTTTTCCTCCCCCCACATCTCGACTTTTTTCACTCTGATGTTCCTTCCCTCTGTGAAGCCTGAAGTCAACTTAAGGGCTAATGATAACTATCAAAACGCCTGCC